TTAATCCTGGAAAGAGTATCAGAGTTGAGATGCCTTCAATTTCATGTTCCCGCAAAAACACAGATGGACCCAAAGGTCTATTTCCCCCGGACCCTGTGCTTTTCCAGTGTTGTAAGAGAGTAGTTTCAATAAACTTTTAAAGAGTTCATTTAAATCTTGTAAAGGCATTTTTTGAATTTTGAGGGATTAAACTGTCGGACAATGTGGAGCTTATATATTCTGTGTAATACATTAACCTCGTCTGATCTTTTACTCACTTTGTTGTTAGTAATTGATTTGTGTAGGTTTCGTGGTCTCCTCTTAGGAGGCCTGAGAACAAATGGGCTGAAATACCTATTTCTCTTTGGCCAAGAGCCTGCAACTTCTCCAAGAAAGAACTGATTTCATTTGATTAAAAAGCATTTTTGTTTTGGTCTTCTCCAGGAATCCTGGTTTTCCCTTTGCTTGTTTAATTTCTGTGTTTCGCTGTAAATTCTGAGCTGCCTCAGAAGGCCTTATTTGGTGATCGATCCTAGCTAGTTGGTTTTTATTTATATTCTGGGTGTAATTTTTTAGAGAAAAATCGAGTTGTATCTTAATCCCCTCTGGTCTCTTAAATCCCACCCTTATCAAACCCAGAAACATGAAGAAATACCTTAAAGCTTTGATTCCTTCAGTCTGCCTAGATGATAGGTTTTCCTTTCTCTCTTAAAAAAAAAAAAAGTCTAAGATGTTAATGGATAATTGATTTTGTGTTTTTCTCACCTTGTAAGGACTCTTAATATTTTAAAAAAGGATTTCTGGCAATAAAATTACTTAATCCAGCTTGGCACTGTGGAAGGGACACTTCATAGTGTGTCCCTTGCTAGCCAAGGTCACACAGTAGACAGTAGATCAGCTGGCAGTCCTCCCTGGGCTCCTGTCTGGTCTTTTAGGAGATGAGACAGGGCTGAATCTGGATGTAGACAGCATGTGCCCGCCTGCCTGGCTTCCTACTGCTCATAGGCCCTGTCTGCTGACAAGCTGTCTCTAGTGCTTGAGCTAATCTGGATCTGGAAAGGAGGTTTATGGGCAGCCCCAGTCTCACCAGCTGGTAGGACTTAGCCTAAGTCACGGTGGGAGGGACTCCTGGGCCCCGGGACTCTCTGTTCTAAGGTGTTGGCCCTGTTTGTGGGACTAGGTCTCTGCTGTGATTCTCACTTAACAGTCAGCCTGGCAACTTTGCCTTTAACTCCAGTCTTCTGTTAGACTTGGGAGTGTTTTTCTCCCTCCTCGTCCGGAGGCTAGATTCCTGCTTTATGTCCTCTTAGCCACTGGCAAGGATGAAGAACAGCAGTCTTGGAACACAGCTCGGTGCCTCATATGTTAGCATCAGCTGCTTCAACTCTCTAGCCTCCTGAGGCTATTTGCTTCAGTTTTGCTTGAGTTTGAGCTGGTCCTCGCCACTGACCTTATGCCCTGACACCGTGGCCGCCCTCACGCCCTGCCCTGCAGGACGCAGGACGGGCCT